TCCATTTGCTCATTTGTAAAGTATGTCACTCGCATCACATGCACAAGCAATTTTTGAATTTGAGTGTAGTATTTTTATTTTAATGCCAATGTCAGTATGTCACAATAATTGGATAGATATTAAAAGCATCAAACCGTTATTTATCACGGAACGAGGTCGTCATGCGAAAAATTATGAATGTCGAATTTCAAATAATCTGGACTGTGTCAGTTTTCATTAATTCGGGCAATCAAAATTTTTAATATATAATTTTGGTCTCAAATTCGTATTTCTTTTAACACTTGTTATTGCTATCAAATAATGTACGATTGCTGAGATAAATTTGAACATATTATTGTTAAGTAAATATGATACACGTAAATTATAATTTTAGTCCTATATGTTTCACTATCTTAACTTTTTCGTCCTCTTCGAACGGCGTTTTTGATTTTCATCATGTATATTTACAAAAAAGTTCTTTTCGCAACGAAAAGGTCCCTTATGTTTTGCCAAAAAATGTTACAATTTCGTCCCTTATGTATGAAAATAACCTTTTGTAACCTTTTTGCAACCACACGGGACGAAAATAAAAAACACAATTTGAAGAAGACTAAAAAGTTAGGTTAGCAAAACATACATGACTAAAATTGTAATTTATTCTGATACTCCAAAACAATGTTCAATTGTTAAGATGAATTTGAACATTTTAATGAGTAAATTGGATAATCTGTCAAATTCCTAATAATCGAGGCATCAGGGATGCGGTCCCACACAGTGAAATGTATCATAAGAGGGTGAGTCTAGTTTCACCTTACTGAGGTTCCATCCCAAAACCAATTGGTGATGGGAGGAGTAGCACACTAGGCTTATAAACTAGACTAAATTACCCTATCAGATCAATGTGGGACGACTCACAAGTGATATTCTAACATATTGTCTCACATCGTTTATATAGGAAAAATATGTCTAACTTATAAGTCTAGTGGGCTACTCCTCCTTCAACCAATTAGTTTTGGGATGGAACCTAACTATGGTGCATCTAGGCTCACTCTCGTATGGTGCGCTTTACGTGCGTGGGACCGCACTCGTTTCCCTCGATTCTTACATGGTACCAGAGCCGATTCTACGTGGGACCGTGCGATAACGTACCCCTCATCTAGCCCAATTGGGCTTGGGCCTCGTATGAAGGACTCACAAGTGAGGGGATGTGTTAGAATATCACTTGTGAGTTGTCTCACATCGTTTATATAGGAAAAAAGGCCTAACTTATAAGTCTAGTGTGCTACTCCTCCTTCAACCAATTGGTTTTGGGATGGAACCTCACTATGGTGCATCTAGGCTCACCCTCGTATGGTGTGCTTCACGTGCGTGGGACCACACCCGTTTTCCTCGATTCTTACATAATCTAAAGCCAATAATTTATATTTTAGAGTAGAATGTCCAATTTATAAGGGTGAATAAAACTGGAACCAAAAAATCGAGAAAAATCATGCAATTTCAGTGTGCTTCAGTTAACTAATTTAGGCTATTTTTGGTAAAACTAACTGATAACCTAGTTGATAGCTTATCAGTAATTTCCGAACTTATAGTTTATGGCTTATGACTTATAGCTTAAAAGCTAACTTATATGATAAAAGTGTTTGGTAAAATTAGCTGATAAGCTAGTTGAAATAAAAATTTCAACGAGCTTATTTGAAAAGCTACCCAAAGAAGCTTATCAAATAAGCTCGAGCTTTTTAAAAAAGCCCGTCTTAGCAAACGGAGTTTATTTGAATACAGAGGGCTTATAAGCTAACCAAATAAGCTATAAGCTAGCTTATTTGTCTACCAAACACAGCCTTACTGTATAAAATCTTAAGTTCGGTTCTTTTTATTTTTGTGGTATGGTTCTTATTTATTTATTTTTTTCATAGGTATNAAATGTTATAGATACATAACATGTACAGAGGTGTACATAACACTCACATTATGTGGGTCCTACCAAAAATAAAAAATCAAGTGGACCCCACTCCATGTGATTGTTATGTACACCCCTATGTACATTTATTATGTACTTGTAGCATTTTTCAATATATATTGAAATATTGCGTGGAAATCAAAAGATCGAGCCGACTCGTGCAATTCTACGGTTCGATTTGATTATTTGCAATATAAAAAAAAACATTCAGATCAATTTCTTCTCTTGTTAAGTACAATTTGATTATTTTTATCTTTTGAACAATTAAGGAAAAAAAAATATCTTTTGATCAATTCAATTTTCAGTTTGGTGAGGTTATACACCCAATTCAATTTTCACTTTTGAAAAAATCTATAATTTTTTTAGTTAGTACAATCATCAAATTATATAATGTAATACATACTATCACATAATTCTTATTTTAAACAATAATTTTTATAAATAAAAATTATATTACTATAAATAATTCTCACATTATTATTTTAGTTGATGGGCACAAGATGGAGTACTATTTATATTCTATTAGTATTCGACCCTTTGCATTTGCACAGATATAAATAAACTATATTTATGCATATCATATTAAAATTATAAGTTAGCTAATTGTATTAAATTTTAAACATAGAGTATTATAAGTTATATTTATGTATATAATATTAAAATTATAAGTTAGATAATGATATTATATTTTAAAATTTGACCACTAGTTTAAATAAATAGTATATAACTATTTGATTGCATATGCATCACTATATAGATTGCATAAAATGTAATAAATAATGTAACATTTGTAACTTTGAGAGATCATGACTAATTAATTTACTGAAAAATATTAAATTCATTATAACAATTGTTTATGCAATTTTAATAGATTTTACTATGACATTAAAATAAATTAATTTATTTAAAAAATAATCGATTAATCAAATAAAAAAATATAATATTAATTTAGAATAAATAACTTGAACAAAATATTTTACAATGTAATTTTTTATTTCATGTAACTTTCATATATCATTTAATTGATATAAGTGTAAAATATAATTATTAATTCTAATAATAACTGTTATATGATACAAAAACATATAATTATTAGTCAATTATTATAAAATGTAACAGTTTTTGTCTCAATTAACAGAATCAGTTTTTCGAGAGTTATAATTTTTATGAGGTAATATTTATGAAGTTTGATTTAATGGATTGCTTGCAATTATATAGATATAGATATACATCATATAATAAATAAAAGTACATTATATATAGGTGATTATTAATAATTACTACTAATTAACTTACATAAAAGTATAAAAGTTATTAAATAACGGATAAATTTTGGCACATTAACTGAGTGATATATATCATTGGTCCACGTTAAACTAATGCAAATATATATTAATATTTGAGTAATTACATATTTATAAGGTGAACAATATAAAATTAACCCCTCACCCACCATATTATTATTTTCAAAATTAACTGGTTTCGTTTTTAAAATTGGTATAATTCAAATTTTAATCTTTAATGTGTAGTTGATAATAATGTCACTTCAATAAGAAATTGATTTTGCACGGTTTGTCGTTCCATTTTTTACAACTGAAAATTTTAAAAATCATAGTTATTTCAAGACTAACAGAAAATTAATTGTAAGTTGTATATGTAAGAATGAATGTGTTTTATAGCTTAAAATTGAGTTTAGATAACTTAAAAGTTTCTTATAATCAGAAACAGGCAAGTTTAGGTGCGCCAAACCCTCGCACGGTCTCATGTGAGCATTGTCGGGCATTGAGCCCATCATGCCAGCGGCGAGTGTTAAAGTTTTCGTGGCCAACTAGCCCAAAGAGCGCGCGAGCTCTTTTGCGATTAGGCTAGTTTAACAATATGTCATTTGTTTGTAACTCATGGTCATGCAATTCCACACTATATATACCTAGTCGAGCGAATCATTCACACACGCATAAAATAAAGATGAGGAACTGAGGCTAAAACATAAGATAATTTGCAAACGTCTTGTGTTTGTATTTTTCTTCATTTCTTTAGAATTTTAAGCACTAATTGGTTGATCGAAATCAAGTGCATTTGAAGTATTACTATATATAATATAAAAATCGTTGTTACCTGAATTTATGTGTCGATTATTGAAGGCACTAATCGAAGGACAATTTCGACTTTCCAAAATGTTTTCACATGTCTCGATTTTTTTTATTCGATTTATTTTGTTTATATTTGTTAATTTTAAATTTACTAAGTTCAAATATGTTATACTTTCAAATCTTGCCATAGTTTTCAAGTTCATTAAGTTCAAATACGTCAGATTTTCAAATCGTATTCGTTGTTCGTGCGTTGTTATTTTCCAAAAAAATCAATTACATATATTCAAGCAACTAAAGAGTCAAAACTGATTAAAATCAGTTTTGATTGTATTAATTTTTTTTAACCCACTTTAATTCAAAATCTAACACAACATCACTATCATCAATATTATTAATATAATTAATTACTATCAATTATCTATCTCCTACGTCACATCAACTTTAATTCACTATTTGTCTCATATTTTTACATCACATCAACTTTAATCATTATATTTTCAATACTATTTGATTATATTTTTCTCATCTCACTCAATCAACTTTTATTCAACATAACTCACTTTTAAGTCCTGATCAATTTTAATCAATTTTAACTAGTTGCTTACCAATTGCCACCTTAGTTTATAAATTTTCCTCAAAAGGGAAAAAATCATAAAAATGAGAAAGGAAAGGGGTAAATAGGATTTTGGGGATGGTGTGCCAGCAGTACCATATTGTAATAAACTTTTTAACTAACAAAACGGGCAACAAAATGCAAATAAACAATTGTTTGTGGGCTCAATCTATAAAGGTCACCGTTTCTGGGTTTGTTCTGTTCTCTTTAAAAAAAAAAAATGCCATGTGATCTTGCTCAGCACCTCTCTCTCTCTTTGATTGACTTCCGACGAAAGTCACCGGAGAAAAGGACGACCCAATCCGAGTAGCCGGAATCTGTCTTAGCCTGATTGGACAAAACTCTGAGAATTACCATGAGCAGCGTTCCTACCACCGTGGAAACCGTAAATGCTGCCGCCACCGCCATTGTTACAGCTGAAAGCAGAGTTCAACCGTCTACGATTCAGGTGTGTATCGTATGTAAATTATTCGTGTATTTGTGTTTTAGGTTGTGGTTTTTGTTTATGCTCTGGTAATAATTATCCAATTATCCCGATGTGCGATTTTTGTTGCGACTTGTGCTGGTTTGAAGTTTAATTTTTATTGATCTTTTCCCCTTGCGTTATTTGAGAAATTCAGGTTATGGTTTTTTTTCTTGGTGCTTTTCTATAATTATGTTATATTTGTTCACGTCTTCACTCTTTTCAGATGACATGATAAGATCTTGTCAATTGATAAGATTTTTTATCCCCCCTTTTTGTGTTGGGTAAATATCTTATATTTGGTCAGAATTAAGAGAATTTATTTAGATGTAATTTTGTAGAAAAAAATAATTAGAAAAAACAATCTGAAAAGTATAGGCTAGCGGCAGATAACCTTGACCTTGAGGTGAAATATTTCAAGAGCTTTGAACTTGATAAATTAGTTGTGTATATAGTATATATTTTATCTCTCTTTAAAATTTGCACTGTGATGAGTTTAGAAGGAAGATCCGAATTGCAGATTTTTCTTGCATAGTTTGACCAAATACATATGAAAAACGAGTTCTTAAAATACTTGATCTGTGCATCTTTTAGCATCAAGCTCAGTGTCTCTTTCAACTTCATATTTCAACTCCATGATGATTGACTAGTGATTTTTTGTACCCGGATTTATTTTTACTCAACAATTTTTGTTTATGAACAGTTGGAGTATAACTGTACAAAATATTGAAAAATACTGAATTTGTAGTTCTTGAAAAATTCTGCATAGACAGGATCAGAAAAGACGTTTCAATTTTGTTTTGGCTGCCAATTTTTTTGTTATATTGTCAGCTTCTTAAGACAAAAGAACCACAGATTAGATTGGGCAAAAAAATGATTGTTCAATTGAGAAAGGTTTATGTAAAAGATTTGTCCTCGGTTGGATCTGGATTTAAGGATTCAGGTTTGTGGAGTACATTTGGGAAATCAAAATGATTTAGAAGGAGCTTTGAGCAGGAGCCCAGATATCCACCAAAAAAGCTCGATGATTTATGATTATAAATTTGATTTTAAAATCCTTTGATTTAAATCCATGAAACCAAATGAAGGTTTGTTTTACCGTGTATGATAACCAAGAAAACTACAAAATCATACTTGGTCAATTTTTTCCCATGGTTTGTTTTTGGAGTTCAAGTGGGCTCCAAGACTCAGTGAGAGTAGCACAGTTGACTAAATTGCTATTAATCAGGGATTGTAAGATGGATTGGGTCATAATCTCCTCAAAACATTGTGAGAAAAAATGCTAAAATGTTACATTTGTAGAAGATGGGAAAACCTAAGCATTCAGGGTCTGCTGAATTGCTAATTAAGGATTCTTACTAGAGGAGAAATTAACTCACAGTTACGCGACCTTAAGCATCTGCATGGCCTCTTTAACTGGTTTCAGTTTTAATACTATTTGGCCATGTGGACACCCAATCTCTCTTTTATGCAAGTTCGGAGCAGTTTTAATGCAATAGTCAAATCCAATTTATGCCTTTTTCTCCGTTTTTGCTAGCATTATCAGAGTAAATTTCTATTTCCTACATCCCAGAAACTAAAAGAACACACATATTTGTTTGACATTCCTCAGAAGAGAAGATGGGGAAACTGTTGGAGCATCTACTCGTGCTTCGGTTCATGCAAAGAGAGCAAAAAAATCGGGCACGCAATCCTTGTACCGGACCCACCATGCCCACCTATAAGCGTACCATCGATTTCCGAAAATCGAAACAATTCCTCAAACTCATCATCCATTGTTCTCCCCTTCATAGCCCCTCCTTCTTCCCCTGCCTCTTTCCTCCAATCCGACCCCCCCTCTGCCACATACTCACCTGGCGGGCCCAGTCCCGGGCCCAGGCCCATCTACGCAATCGGGCCCTACGCCCACGAGACCCAACTAGTCTCCCCGCCCGTTTTCTCTACCTTCACCACCGAGCCATCGACTGCTTCCTTCACCCCTCCTCCAGAGCCGGTGCAAATGACGACTACGCCCTCGTCCCCGGAGGTTCCGTTTGCCGAGCTTCTGTCCTCGTCATTGGCTCGTAAAGGGAAGAATAACTGGAAGTTCTGCTTGTCTCAGTACGAATTTCGGCCCTATCACTATCCCGGAAGCCCTGGGGCCCACGTGAAGTCCCCAGGGTCGGCCATTTCGACTTCCGGGACCTCGTCTCCCTTTTTTCCCAAGTTTCTCGGCTATGAACATTATAAATGGGACTCGAGAGTCGGCTCTGGGTCGTTAACGCCCGGTTCGAGGCTCGACTCGGGTGCGTTGACGCCTAGCGGCGAAAACAAAGCTGTTGTCGAGAATCGAGTTTTTCGAGTGGTGTCGGAAGTCAAGCCGCAAAACGAGGATTTGGTCGATCACCGTGTCTCGTTCGAGCTTTTCGGGGAGGAGATTCCGACTTGCGTCGTGCGGGCCCCGTCCCTTAAGAATGGGTCGGGATATGAAATTGTGAAGGAGTTTTCGGGTTCGAGGAATGAAGAAGATAGTTTGAGAGAACATTGTAATGGGGAGGAGGAGTTTCACCAGAAGCACCGTACGAGCTCACTAGGGTCGAGCAAGGATTTCAATTTCAATAATGAAAAGGGGCAAGTGTGTGAAAAGTCGACCGTCGATTGTGAGTGGTGGACGAGCGAGAAAGACGTGAAAAAGGAGTTGGGCCCGAGAAATAGCTGGAGTTTCTTCCCGATGCTGCAGTCGGAGGTGAGCTGATGCTTTTCGAGTATGTGGATATCTTTTGGTAAAAGATTATTGGAACTTGTAAAACTTGAATGTGATGATACATATACAAGTGCAAAAAGATTTTAGATTATTTTTGTTTTAGTTTTTGTATGCAAAACTTGATAGGTGTATGTATACCCAGTTATATTGACTTGTAGTATGAGAAAGAGCTGGGCTGTGTTGGTTTTTTCACGTGACTATCAACAAAAATAGACATTCTTGTGCAGGAAACTGGATCAATAAATCTGTTATTTCAATTACATAAATGTTGAATTGTTGTAATCAGTTTTAACTTCATTGTTGTCGAACTGCGCATAATCTGCTTAGGATTTGTCATAAGGTGTATATTAGATTCAGAAATGTGCACCGATCTTCAAAGATAATATTTTATCATGTGCATCATTTTTTCAGGAAGAGGTAGTTTGATATTCAACATCTACGATTTACTTATTCAGCATGCCTGTATTATGTGTTCGTGTCTATTCAGTTTTGCAGGAGGAAAAAAAAAATTAAATATGTTCAACTTGAAAAAATAATCCCTGAAGTTTGAGAATATGGCTATATCTAATCGGGGACTAAAGAATAATAAATGGAAATAAAACCCCACACTTGTGTATGGTGTTTTTGTCCTCTCCATATACTGCCACGCCTCTGTTAGAACAGAAGTTTTTTCTTGTTACCTGTGATATAGTGCTTGAATAACAAATTGCAACCAACAGTCTTTTGCGAGAGTATATTAACTAAATTGTGAAAATATGCTTTTGTCAGCATAACTGAATTTGTCATATACAAGGAAATAAGGCCCGGGGATATCTGACCTGAAATCTGTATAAAATAAAAAATTATAAGCTTCTCTTCATATGGCTTGTCAGAGTTATCGTGAATAAAAGCTTGTTCGCATGTTAACAAAAGTTCAGGCTAATTTGTGCTAAAATTGAGATAGAAGTAATAGAGAAAAAGGTATTGTATTTTTCATTGATTTTAGAAATGAGATTACAACAAATATATAGGGATTACAAGACATAAGACATATCAAGATCATATTAAATCAAATATCTAATTACAAAGATCCAAAGATATCTTAACACCCCCCTCAAACTCCCTCAAATTGGTGCATGAAGATTCCGAATGTCCAACTTGTCGAGAAAATATGAGAAATCATGTCCACCCAAAGTTTTAGTGAAAATATCTGTCAGTTGTACTTTGGTAGAAACAAAATCAAGAGCAATAATGCTCTTCAATAAAGCGTTACGAACAAAGTGACAGTCAATCTCGATATGTTTAGTACGGTCATGAAATACTGGATTAGAGGCAATATGGGTAAAATACGTGGCGCCTCCTATGTTTAAAGAAATATGCGCGTTTTCATACTGTGTATTAAAAAATACACGAAACCCGCTTATATTTAAGCAATTAGTGCATGGTTCCCTCATTCCGTCCAACTTAACGGCGCGTGAAACACCTCCTATAGCTGCGAGAATTGTTCAATTTTTTTTTTATTTTACAAAATTATAAATTTACCTTTACACCCTCCTGAATTTATTGCAAAAGCTAAAAATCTATAAAGTGTGGGAAGTAGGAATTAAATCTGGGTTGCAAAGAAGGAGTACACCCACACTACCACTGGCTACATTGATGGTTGTATAAATTATTGAACATATATATATAATAATATCATATGGAAATGAACTAAATAAAACAAAAATAAAGTAAATAAAATATAATAAAAGTATAATAGGTAAATCAAATATAAATTAAATAATAATAGTAGTACTAATAATAACTTTTAATAAATTAAATTAACATAAAAATAATGAAAAAATAAACTAAATTAAAGTAAGATAAAATTTAACATATTAGCTAAAATTAAATAAATTTATATATTTTAATTATTAAAATTAATTAATTATATAAATTTTGAAATGAAAATAATAATAATAATAAAAAAATTAATAAAAAATAACTAAAATTAAAGTAAAATAATTTAAAAATAATAGTAATAATAATATAAGATAATAAAGTATACAAATGTTAAACTAAAATAAAATAATAAATCAAATAACTTATTATGAAATAATAAACTAAAACAAATAAAAATATTAAATTAATATAAGAAAATAAAAAAGATAATTTATCAAATAATTTTAATATGATTTACTATTACATACAATATTATTGAAATTTTTTGAAATAATTATCATTTTTTAGTAATGATTTCAATTGTAAATAAATAATTTTAATTTCTAAATTTTAGTAAAATTTATTTTAGTTTTATTTCATAGTCATAAGTTAAACAAAATAAATAAAGTTTGTTAACTACAATAAAATAAAATGAATAATTCAACATAATAATATAGAATAATACAAATTAAAATAAATAATAAAATATAAAAATATATGAAAATAATCTAAAATAAATACAATAAATATTATTATTTTAACTGTAATTTCTTATATTCGTTTATAATTTATTTTACTTATTTGATTTTGTTTAATATAATAAGTTGTTTTAATTATATTGTTTTTGTTTAATTTATATAATTTTGTTTATTATATTTTATTTATAATAAGTTTGTATTTTATTAATTTAATTTAGTACAATTTACATTATCTTTTAAATTTAATTTGATTTATCCATATGTAATGTCCATATATTTTAAACGTTATTATATCTCACAATCAACCTTGAGTGGTATGGTGGTTCCAATTCTTTCCACCCTTCCATGAGGTCCCAAGTTTGAACCCTAACTAGTTTTCGACCTATGCAAATGCACAGATATAAATAAAGTATTGTGAGTTATTTGTGTGCATATAATGATTTGTGACTTTGCTTGCACTTTTTTGCATGTCAAATTTACAATTAAAGGAGCTGGAATATTTATTTTTCTAAATTGGGTTTATCATATTGGATGTAATGTATATTTTGGTATGTATTTTTTTGTGAATTATTTATTATTTATTTAGGAATTTCAAATACGTTTTTTATTTTCCAAAAGAAGTTAATTTAAATGTAACCACAACAATGACATCTAATCACGTTAAATAGTCAACACATTATATGGTCAGCTGTAAGTAAATCAAAAGTTTAAAATGAGTTTTATAAATTTCAAGTGATTAGTATGTTGATTATATATTAATTAAATGAGAGGTTAAATAAATAAAAAGTAACGGTTTTTGGAGGGAAAAGTTATATTGCCACATAGGTATAATTTAATAGATTTTATTAAATGCTCATGAGCCAGCAATTATATATATAGATGACAACAATTTTTTTTTATTCAATTTCTCGCAGTATTTTCAATATATCGTGATAAATCTAATTTACAATATATATATATATATATGTGTATATATATATATATATAATATTCAGAGGGTATAAACGGGTCTTTGCAAAAACATTAACACCGTTAACACGAAAATTGGATAAAGGGAGTGTGTGCATATGTTAGTTAAATAGAAAGGGGTGTCACACTTTTTTTAAAATACAGGGTAGTAACGTGCATATTTCGTATAACATATGGAGGTTTGGTGTAATTTTCCTGAGACAATATGCAAGGCGATCTTGCTGTCACAATGAAGAGGAATGGGATGGAGAAGATCAACACTGAAACCTTCTAATAGAGATTTTAGCCATGTCGGTTCACAAGTAGTAGAAGCAATGGATCGGTATTCTTCTTCCGCCGAAGATCAAGAGTCAGTATGTTGTTTCTTCATCTTCCAATAGATAGGAGACGATCCTGGTTAGATAATCCAACCAGTAAGTGAACGGTGAGTGAGTGGACAATCCACCCAATCAGAGTCACACCAAGTAGTAAGGCGTAAATCAGAATCTGTGCGGAAGAAAATACCGTGACCAGGACTACCTTTCAAATAGCGCACAACCCGAAGAGCTGCATCCCAATGAGGCTGAATAGGTTTGTGCATAAAGTGGGGTAAAACATGAACTGAATAAGACAAGTCCGGTCGAGTGGAAGCAAGATAAATGAGCCTGCCAACCAACAGTACTTCTCTGGATCGAAAAGTGGAGTACTAGTAGCAAGCGGAACCTGATGATTTTGTTCGAGTGGAAAGGGGGTTGGCTTAACCCCTAGAAAACCAATCTCGGAAAAGATATCAGGAGCATACTTCCATTGGCACAAAAAAAAAAAAAAAAAAAAAAAAAAAAAAAAAAATGCCAAAGGAATTGCGAGCCACCTCCAAACTCAGGAAATATTTCAGAATTTTGAGATCCTTCATATGAAAACATCGGCTTAAATAAGACTTGAAGGAAGAGATAGCATCACTGTTGTTCCCGGAGATGACCAAATCATCAACATACACAAGAACGTTCAACTGAACATCATCACGATCCAAGATAAAGAGAGAATAATAGGCGTAAGATTTACTGAAACCATATAGCCGTAATGTCGTAGCAAGCTTCACAAACCAGCATCTGGGAGTCTGCTTAAGGCCATATAACGACTGTTTCAAGTGGCAAACAAGATAAGAGGAACATACTAGAAACAATAGGCAATTTCATTTAAACCTCTTCGGCAAGATCACCATGTAGAAATGCATAATGAACGTCCATATGATGTAACTCCCACTGTCGAGAAGCAGCAACGGTTAGGAAAGTCCAAACGGTCATCATTTTTGCGACTGGAGCAAAAGTCTTAGTATAGTCGACACCCACCCTCGACCTGATTGTTCCTAAGAATGGCCAGACAAGCTTTGTTACCAGTCAGAGCGGTGTTCAATACGGTACACCCATGTACATCCAATAGCCTTTTTACCAGGAGGAAGTGGAACAACAGTCCACATTTGATTATTTCCAAGAGCTTGGATTTCAGACTGCATGGTAGAGCACCAATTAGAATCAGTCACGACCTCGAAAAATGTCTGCGGCTCTATAGAAGCCTTTACGCTGCCAAGAAAGTCTTATGGGAAGATGAGAAAGCAGTACTATCAACAAATGCGCTAAAGGATAAGGTGTACCTGAGGACGATGAAATGGTGGAGGAGTGAGCGGGGGAGGGGGTAATAGTGCTGGTGACGTGATCTCGTAGTTTGATAGAACTTTATCCGATGGTCACGTCCCAAGCGCTCAGTAAAAACCATAGGAGCAAAGCCCCCTGACCACAGTACAATACAAATAAAATTGCATTTTAACACATTCGATGTGGTTCGGTTAAAACCGCACCCTTCGGACACAAAACCGAACCGCACCGAACTATTTGCGGTTTTTCAAAATTTTAACTGCGCTGAAAACCGAACTGCACCGCACCGAATACATCGGTTCGGTTTGGTTTTTCGGTTTTGGCTCGGTTTTGCT